GATATATATAATATATATATATATATATATATATATATATATATATATATAATATTTATATACAGTAGCATAAGATATAAGATATAAAAAAAATTGAGACATGATCAATGTTAAAATTTTCATTTATAAATCTTCGAAAAAAAATCATCTTGTTCTGTATAGATCCAGAATACATAATAAAAATCGAAGTTTGAAAACATCTTATATTATTTCGGCTTTGTCAAAGAGCTCTTTTTTGGTACTTAAGTGCTAAGCTATTTAATGGCGGTCTGGTTTTCAGGATTCCGAGATCAACAGCGTGTCCGATAAGAGGACAGCTTTGGCATCGTTTGCGTATATAATTAGTATTATAGGCACTTTTCTCTTGTTGCACCACATATCTGGGAAAGTAATGGACACGCTTCCTTTGAGTTGTTGTACATGGTGATATCGTCACCATTAAATTCTGCCTTTGAATCTTGTCCATTGGTTCTGGAAATAACCGCTCATTCAACAGATATTGTTGCAATAATTTCGATTTGGACGACGTTAAAGTGTGATTCGAGCTATGCGTCTCAAAATAATTTTGCTGTCGGAATTTTCTCATATCTTCTATTTCCCTATCCATGAAATCTTCAATTGCGGAATCATTTTCATGTCTCAAATATCTGTCTCTCTGCTCCAATAAATTCTGTTTTTCTGCATTCTCACATTTATTATCGTCGATTTTTTTATTCAGTTCGCTTCTGCAGTAGGAACAATCTTGCTTGCACAACTGTGTTGTTTTTTTACTTTGCATTGATGACTTCGATTTGTATTTTTCACTTGAGTCTAATATCTGTTTCCTGAATTTAATAGTTTTTCGTGTTGATTTTGATAATTTTCGCGGAGATACTTGAGTTTTTTTATTCAAAGTACAAACGTCGACATCATCACGCTTAGATCTGTTTTGTTCGTTCGCTATCGAGTTTGTAGATACAGTCGGAGATATTGAAGTTTTTTGTTTCTCATCCACACACTTGCATTCATTCTGCAATATTATTTTCTCATCACTAAAGGTATTCTGCATTCTGGCACTTGTTAAAGATCGGTGATAATTGGATGATTGAGGACATGTCCATAAATGATCTCCTTGATCTCGTAACTCACAGATCTTGCTTTGTATATTATGAAGGAATTGAGATCTAGGCGTATAGTTAATTTTTTGAATTCTTTTGAATATTTCACAGCTTGATGAAGGTAATGTTACTTTGTCATCAATTTCTCTAATAGATCTGAATTTGAATTCACTCTTACAATGATAGGGACATGATGCAGACTTGTGCTGATTTCTCGGCGATTTTACATGCATCTTGTTCATTTCAGAATAACAATAACAACCTTTTACTGGCTTCCTGGATGTGATCCATTGTTCTTGAGGTCCCTTAGATGTTAGCATTAGTTTTCTAGAAGCTAACATATTTGATATTAATGAGGTTATATGTTTTGAATTAACAGAAAAATGCTCCGGATACAATTTATTTCACTCGAGATTACATAATTTCCATAAGTCTAGATTTTCTCCAAAATAATAGCTCTATGTCTTGTAATGATTGTAATCACATTTACCAAGAATCTGCAAAGATGCATTAGGAATTAAGTTGTCAAAATAATGCCATTACTTTTATTTATATGCAAAATATATTTACAGCATTTGTGAATATAATCTTCTTACAGTATCTCTTTTAGAATCTTCATCAACATGTGCTAACAAAATATAACTTATTTTGCATAACTTTTTTAAGAATGTCTCTGCTACCTATATTTATTCCAATAGCCAAACCTACAAAGACATTTTGAATAAAGTATGCTATCAACTTCTGATGGCAGGAAGGCAACAAATTTCAAACAAGTCTGTAATATCTAATGTCAGCAAACTATTGTCAGAAATATGAAAATATTTGCTGACCATATCAACAGACAGGTGGTAAAAATCAAGTAGGATCTGACATAACACAAAATCTGCTCAATTTCTGCCATCAATCTGCTGGCATAGAAAACCAACAGATTCTGTCATAAGCAGAACATAAGCAGAATGTGATTTCAAATGAATCAGTCTACTATAATTTTCTGATCAAATCTGCCGACATTCTGCTAACATTTTATTGCCTGAATAGAATTTGAAATATTTAATATTTAAATATTATTTTTAATGCTACATTGCAAAAGTGACTCATTTAAATAATACCATCATTATATTAAATAATTTAATTTATATAAGATACAAATAAGAATAAATTAATTATAATAGTAAAAAATATATTGAAAATTCAAGATACAAATAACTAGAATTATTATAATCATATATATTTTTTTATAGATTTAAATTATAAATATCTTTTTCCCAAAGATATATAATGTATACGTGATTATTAAATGTACAAATATATAAAGTTTCTTAATCTATCTTTTACAATATTAAACAAATATTCATCAATTAAAGTTTTTACAAAAAAATCATCAATGGCAGAAACTCATCAAAATTATCAAAATGTTTTCTCACTTTTAACAATATATTCGATAAATATTTTACAATTTCGAACATATATTGATCATCATCAATGAAGGTTAAGAACATTCATTGTAAACAAAAAAGAACACTTTAGGCTAGCTAAATTCCAAAAAAACACAAAAGAATCATCAATTCCCTTTAGCTGAATTAGTTGCACTAGTTCAAAGCATAGACATATAAAATATGAAGACCGAGCCATGAATCTAAGAATATAAGAATATAAAAAAGATAAACTCTGAGGGTCAATCATGTAACTTTTCCCCTAGAGAGAAAATATGAAAAGTGAAAAGTTTCACGTAAACTTACGATTTTGCGGGATCATGTAATTCTCTCAAACGTGAAAATGTGAAATTTTTCACGTGAATTTACCTTGGTGGCGGAAAGGCGGAAATCTAGGGAATTAATAAATATGCTTCGGAATTAGAGAAGATTAGGGCTGCGTTAGTGTCGGTCCACAATAAGTATTTAATCTTTACGTCGTAAGAAATTGACCAATCATAGTCGATTATTCTTTTCATATTCGATTATAATTGGTCAATTTCTTACTTCTTAAAGCTTAAATCACTTATTGTGGATCGACACTTAAGGATTAAGTGTACATAGTAACACCATATACAATTGGTTATTAAAAGATGTATATAATACTGTACCAATAAAATAATTTTCATTAGCTATAAAACCTATGAAATTATGTTTCATAATTCCACGCATCCAAATTACATACATAATCGCTGTATGTGAAAAGTTTCACGTGAAATGTCAAGATGTGAAAAATGAAAAGTGAAAAATTTCACGTAAAGTTACATGATTGACCTCCTGAACTCTGAACTTGCAGTTAGTTAAAAAGAACAGACTCCTTTCTTCTTTCAGTATAAAAAAAGAAAAATAAACTGTACAACCAGTTCAGAACTGAACTAGTACAATCAGTTCAGCCAAAAAGAATAAATCTACGCCGGTATTTATAATTTTATTCGGTTCTTATGCTAGTCTGAATCCAGCATTATACTTAAGTAAGCATTATACTTTAATCAAACATTTCTTAAATTATTAGTTGAAATTAACATTTCAACTAATAAGATAGCTATATGAGCTTATTTCAAACTATTTTAAATATAAAAACGGATTGTGAATACTGACCCTAAGGTCTGTTTTCTGTAACTGAACCACAGATTTTTATATATTACACTATATTGCTGACTTTTATTTTTTCGTTATATACAAATGTTACTTGCAGACAGTCGTGTCCATAGACATAGTATAGATAGACCGAGCATGTAGGGATTATACACACAGTTCCATTTAATATTTTCATTTAATATTTTCATTTAATATTTTCCTCACCTTCTTCTATTAGAGAAAGAGAGAGAGAGAGAGAAAGAGAGAGAGAAAATCAGGTATTGTTTCTTCTCACTCGCACATGTCGCCCATTGCCTGGTATATAGCATGGTCGATCTATTTAGACTATGTCTATGATCACTATTTATACTATGTCCATATCTCCGTCTTTATCACTCTTGTATCTAGCGGAAGAGAACCACAAAATCAAAATAATTTTGTCTTTGGACATAGGTTGGTTCCCTATGGCCATATCAGACTAGCAGTTACGCGGTTACGATTGCTGGTTGACGATTCTATTTCAGTCAATCACACAATGTAGCAGGTCCTAGTTACGGTGATTGGTAATAATAGAATCATCAACCGGCAATCGTAGCCGAGCAATCGCTAGTCTAATATGGCCTTAAGTCTCGGTCTACAATAAATGATTTAAGCTTTAAGCCATAAGAAATGGACGAATCATAATTGAAGAATAGAAGACTAATCGACTATGATTGGTCAATTTCTTATGGCTTAAGACTTAAATCACCTATTGTAGACCGACACTAAGGTTATAGCTAAATCGCCAGCATGTCCGCTCTCAGGCTATGTTCTTATATTCACTGTCAATACTGAAAATATATAGTTCAGGTCACGTATCTTATAGATTTTCACTGGCAGGGAATACAGCCTTTCGGAATGCAGCCTTTCTGCTAGCAGTGAATTTGAAATACAATACAACATACAACAGCAACATTAGGCATGCGGCGCGCGTCGCCATGTTGATCATATGAGAGGACGCTTTTCGCTAGAAGGACAAATGTGTTGGACAGTCTATAGAAAGCTAAATTGGATTAGGTAAAATTTTTCGTTGATGTATCATGTAAGGATATTCCACAAGTGATACTCTAATTTGCTCGTGTAATTGTTTTCATATTAGATAATGTCGATCTTACATTATTTTGTACCACGCGGACAGATTGTTCGTTTATAGGTTAGAAACATTATCGCGCGCACATTCCTTACGGCACGCATTACCTGCAGCATTATGGATTTCTCCGAAGAAGAGATGTCTCGCGGCATCGTTAAGCAGACGCTACCACAGTTTTCAGAACTGAGGTCAGCACCGATTGCCGTCGCGTCGACAAATATATCAGAATATACTGATAGCGGGAATGTACAATCGCAGACGGTGCAAACTTCTGTCCAAACGGACACTGCAGGTTCAAGTCAAAAGCAGACATCGGTAAGATTTTTCATGCTTCGTGCCGCGTTCGGTCTTTTTTTTTATTAATTTAATTCATACTGTACCACGATTACATATTTAAAATTTTTTGCTTTTTTTTTTGTAGACGAATGCATCTAGCAAGTATTTTGCAACACCTTTACCAGGCTGGCAAGATACTTTGTTACAATTGTGTGAAAAGCGATTCTTTAACGAGATAATCGTCCCAAGCTATAGTCAAAATAATGGAATACTTGGTGTACAATCAAATAGTCTAAGTTTTATCAATAATTTATGTTTTCCCTCTACATCACAAACAGATAATGCAAAGCAGGAGTCAGATATCCAACTTAAAGAGCAAAAAAATTCAGATAAGGTCAATTATTTTTTAATGTTAAAAGTTTTTATTATATATATATATATATATATATATATATAATATATAATATAATATAACTATAGCTAGGTTAATATAAATTTTATATATATATATATACATATGTATGTGTATGTGTGTATATATATGTGTGTGTGTGTGTGTGTATTTTATATTAAAATATATATTTTATAGGAATCTGAAATACAGGAAAAGCATCAAACAGCAGCTGCCATGGCTGAATATCTTCAGAAATTACCAGCTGATGTTTCTTTGCGAGATGTATTCAAATTATATACAGAACAAATAAAAAAAGAGAAAATACAAGAAGAGAAAATAGAGCACACACAGAATAATATTCTAAATATACCAAATGTTAGAAATATTTATTTGCAAAATAGCAATTTTGCAAATTCAGATCAGATGACAGTGGCCGTTAATCCAAACGATCTGAACCTGCAAAATGAGCAAGAGATTGAAAACAGTCTGCCAAATGTTCTCAAGGTTGAACAACAAGTACAAACTGATTTGCCATCTAAAATTGAGAAAAAATCGAAATTTCGAGCAAAAATGGGTGAGATCAAAGTTAGCATTAATTTCGATGGAGTTCCACTTTACTGTTGCCCAGAATGTAATTTAGGGCTTCCAAACAAGACGGACATCGAGCAACATATACAGACCCATTTACAAGTACATATATATTGGTTTTGGTTTTAGATCAGATTTTTTAAAATTAATATCAAAACTAGTATTAAGAATTTTTAATATTTATTTTAGGAACGAAAGTACGAATGTAAATTATGTGGTGCCATGTTGAAAAGAAAAGAACATCTCGATCAGCATATGCGAGGTCATTCAGACGAGCGACCTTTTAAATGTCCGCTATGCCATAAAGCGTTCAAGAGAAATGAACATTTGACAAGACATTGCGTCATTCATTCCGGCACCAAAGATTTTCCATGCACTATGTGCACGAAAGCATTTTCGCGTAAGGATCATTTGAATAAACATCTTCAAACTCATTTAGGCATTCGCAAAAATAAAAAGGAAGATCTTTGTTACATTGATCAAAAAGATACAACAAGAATATTTGATAATAGTACTGATATTGCTACAATGCCTAAGCAAGAGGTAAACTATATTGTAAAAGACAGTTCCTTTTTGAAGCAAGAAACTACTCTTCTACAGCATATCCAAAATCTTCATAAAAATCCGACTCTATTACATACGTTTGCTTCCCTTAAGGAACAAGTGATGAAAGACGCAAATGTGTCTGAACAGGCACAAAGTGGTAACATGAATGAAAATATAAGATATTTAATGCCATCTTAGTTGTAGATGAAATCCGCGTATATCCAAAGCAATTTACGACGGATGATGGAATCGCTATAAGTAGGTAATTTTTCAATTTTCGAATTCATATTTTGTCACTAGAATGGTTATGATTATTTCAGATTTATAGTTTGAAGCAATTTTATGATGAAATGTTTTAATATCAAATTAAAACAATGCTCACAATTAGATATACATTTTGAGCAGATTTTTTAGGTGATGTCTACTATTTCTACTGTTCGAGATTTGACAGAAGTGAACCGCTGATTGGCACTTTTGATGCTCTGCTTCAGTAATATTCTATCAGAAATATGGGTTTGTACTTTTAGTTAAACTGTTATTAAGATATTTTCCTTGATAAATAATTCTTATTTTTATAAATAATAAATGCTACGTTTTCTCTTATTAATATATTATATATCCTGTAATGATACAATTGTGACAATAATGATTATTTGATCTTACAAAAACTTAGTACTTAATTATTTATAAAACTAAAGATTATTTAGCAAGAAAAATGTTTTAATGATAATTAGGCGAAAGATATGATGCCAGTAAATTTCTGATACGGGAATATTTCTGAGGCGGAGCGTCAAAAATACAGTCAATGATTCGGCCATTAAATCTTGAATAACAGCGGATAGGGAGGAGAAATAATAAGCGTCATTTCAGAAATTGATCTAAATTGTGCATTTAATTCTGAGCATTGTATTAAAGGTTATTTTGTAAAAAATTCAAAACAATATATCATACATCTGTCTTCTCTATTCTAAAATCATCGGGACCGAATGTTTCCTCTATTCTAAAATTTCTCCTCAATTTTATTCTAATGGCACATGTGTAGAATTTTTGGTCGCGTGCGCGCACTCACACACACATACACACACACACACACAAAAGCGCGTGATGTTTCTTGATTTTTTTATTTGGATGTAATTTAATATGTTTGATTATAATATTGTATAAATATATATGTAAAAAAATGGGAAAGCAACTCGAGGAGAAACTCAGTTTATAGGAAGCAGCTAACTTAGATTAAAGGAAAATTTAGATTAAAGAAGTTTTGCATATGTCGACCTTGCACTTTTAATGTAGCAAAGCATTGGAATAATTACGTGTTGAGCTATCTATAGCTTAACATATTTAAGATGAGGTGCGATTATATGTATCTTATCATTCTTTCTTGTCCTTCCATTGTATCAGCCTTCCTTGTCACTTCCTTTTACAGTGTTATTTTTATATTTGGAAAAATTAAGCTTTACGGTTTTCTAAAAAAAAAAAGAAATCACGTCAATGTCTAAAAGGAGCATTATGAAGATGTTTATGAAGAGCATTTGATAAAATTTTATTTTAATTTCTTTTGTAGAACTTGATAATTACAATTTACACACATATATATATATGCATGCGCGCGCGCATTGAAGCTCCTAAATAAATTGAATTTTAAAAGAACGGATAATTGCTGATATGCTGATATGCTTAACTTGCTGATTTATTATTCTAATTGTTTAACTTTTAGAATTTTAGAAAGCTAAAGATTATTCTAAAATTGTTCTTGCATTCTATATTAATATTTTAAAAACGTATGAATAGAAAATTGATGAAAGACATTAATAAGCGAAGGAAGATTAATTTATTTAATTACACGCTTGTCTGCTTTACTTAAATTAACCATTGAAAACGTTTAATAATTCTAGTCCATTATCAAAGTTTCTTGTAGCACTTCGCAGCCATTTTAGATTTATGACATCAAAAATTAGAAAACACATAATAGGAATATTTTTATTAAATACATTAAAATTAATTTTTTAAATAAATCGTTTGCACTCGATAAAACACATCTATATAGAGTGTCCTCTATATATAAACTCGTGAAGTAAGTCATCTGTTAATGGCAGATTTCTGAGACCACTTCAAGATGAAAATCCTAATATCAAAATGTCAAAATTACGATAGTTTTTAAATGAGAAGAGTTTAAACTAACTAAACAAGAGGAACAAAACGATCAGTGAGCGATTAACGATTATTGGTCTTTGATGTTAGATCCCTGAATTTAGACCAATTATCTTGACAAATTACTCAATCGTTGTGCAACCATTGTATTTCTTAAACGCGATCAAAATTCAGTTCGTTCAGGTATGGTACATACATGGTATGCAAGTAGTAGCAAAAGTAGCAAAAGATGTTTTTTTAAACATACTATCACGACGGTCTAATCCCAAATTGAAATATAATTCTGCATATATCGTTGCAATTGCTTCTTATTTTTATTCTTTTATTTGTTAATTTATGAAAATAATAACAGCATAATAAAAAATGTGAAGAAGTACTATGCACATTGAACTGTTATAGTTGTCACATGTAATATGTTATAAATAAATGACAAAATTCATACAGTAAAAAATATATGAATTAATTTCAACTAATAAATAATTTTTTTGTATTTATCTTATATTTCTCATTTTTTATTATATTGTTATTTTTATTTTCATAATAGCTCACGCATAAAAATAAAAATAAGAAGTAATTGTTACAACGATTAACAATATATGTAGAATTATATCAATTTTAAAAATAGAATAAATATTTGTGAAAACACTCTTATTTGCCATGTGTCATGTTTGGGCGCACAAATTTTGGATAATTTAATTGATTAACTTTAAATCTTTCTATTTAAAAACTACTTATTGAAGCTTGAATATTTTGATATTGGTTTTGATATTAAAATTTTTGTCTCAAAATGTTTTCAGGAATCTGCCATTAATTGAAAACGAAAGCACTAGACATATAGTTAATTATTTATTGGAATAAAAAGATTTACAAGTATTTTTATTGGAATAAAAAGATTTACAAGTATATCTTTTACAAATCTTTTATCAATTATAAATGTAATTAATATATTTAGTATATTTTAATATATTTTGCAAAAATTTTAATTATGTATTTTCTCGTTTTTGATCTTATTGATTTAGATCGCCGCGACGAGTCAACAAGAATTTTTAATTTTAATAGTTATTTGCATAAAATAAAGACTAATTTTGGACATTTAAATCATTTTGCAATAACTAAAATGCATTTACGTTAAAATCACATAAATAAATATATATATAATAATTATGGAAGGTACTGATAAAATATCATATTATGAGAATAATACTAATTTGTCGGATAGAATAATGTTTCTTTGACAAAAGGATTTCTATTGAATAATTATAGTTCAGATATTCAGAAGTTTCTTGCACTTTATCATAGATAATATTTTTTTATATGGAATATTTGTTTATTTTCCATATTAATATGAATTTGGAAAAATATAAAGCGATAAATCGATTGCAAAATATGTGAAAAGATGATAAACACATATATATTTAATCAAATCGTGATCTTATCATTAAGAAAAATTAAAAATTTGGCACAGATGTTATAGTTATTATCCATAGTAAACAGAAATAACAATATACTACTAAAAGCTAGAGAATTATAAAAGATTTTATTTGGATACATAATAATTTTATTTGCTGAAATATAATATTACGATTAATATCAAGGTTTATTTTTCTAGAATACTTTGAAAAAATGTGATAAATATTATATCCAAATAAATGTCTCCAATAATGTTTATGTTGATATAATATAGAATTGTATTATTAATTTTAATTACACAAAATAAATGTTACTTTTTAAAAAATATAATTCAAAATCTATTGATATTTCTTATATGAAAGATATGCTAAAATATTTGAAACATTTTTCAAAATAATAACATTGCATTGGTTTGTTGATTATAAATTTAATCTGACTTTATCTTTTTTTCGTCTATCTTTTTTATCGTCTATTTTTCATATTTTTTGTTTTCTAAAAAGTTATCATCTTTTCTATATTTTGCCATTTTATGTATTTGAAAATTTATTTTTATAAAATTAAAAAAAATATTAAAATAGCTAAAATTATAACAAGCATTTGTTTGATAAAATTTTAAGTAGATTATTAAATTACAATAGCTGATCTCTTTTGTAGAATTCGTGACTATTTATAAAAATAATTATATTTCGAATCTTAAACGCTATTCTTTATACATTGAATTTTAACTCATTAATATTTATTTAAATAAAAGCTTACATAAATTTAAAATTTAAAAAAGTTTAAAAAGATACAAAATTTTGATGATTACCTAAATAATTTTTTTAAAAATTAAATCAACACTTTTTGTATATTCAAGAATAGCGTTATGCAATAGCGTTTGACATTATTTTTAATATATGCGCCTGCTTGATGCTCCAGTTTAGTTTCTACATATAGATATAAGAAGGACATAACATTAAAAGACTCTCATGTGCCGTATGTTCGAAATGATTACAGTTTTTTAACATTCTTTTACATATGCGTGTCACATACGTGATACGAGTGAATGTGCCCGTGTATGTATGCGTTAGTTATATGAATTAGAAGATGGTACTAAAAATAAATATATTGAACTCTGATGTCATGTAACAACCAAAGACTTTATACACACATACGTACATCAAATCGCAATATTCTAGATCATTTGCATTGACATCTTTTTTAATTCTTTGTAAGCCATCCTAACAACTTAATAAATGTATTGAACACAAAGAATCTTTGCGTAAAGAAAAAGCAATAGAATATTATTTTCAGGATGAAGCAATAGCTTTGATTTTCTTATCGATTAAATAATGTAATTACTCATTACTTAAATAATGTAAGATGCAAACTTCTAAACAGTGAGTGTGCATTTACAGGATTCGTGTTTGACTGTTTTAAATAGTAAATATGCGTTTACAAAACAATGCATTTATCTCACAAGACGATTGTTATTGTATAGTGATAACAAAGAAAATAATTAAAAAAGTGACATTATGTATTTTTTAGATCGAAATATTTTTGAATAAAACATGTGTAACGTAAAAGATTGCAGCTTGTTTTTTCTATGTTTTCTCACGAATGCATCGAATATGCGTAGGATCTATAGTTGAGTATTGCAGAAAGCGTTATATAATCTTACGCAATATCATACAAACAAAATGATTATCTGCGCAAAGATTAGTATATTAAATTTTGCATGAAAAACTTTCAGAACTCTGCACTCAAAACTACAACGATATAGTATTTCATGTTCGTACATTTATATGCGTTTCTCTTATGATTCGGGAATTAATAAAGAATTTAGAGCGTTTAAAGTGTTTAATTTCATATATATGATATAAATTTTATTTATTTTATATATTTTTATGATGGAATATACGATAACAAAGAATGGAATATGACAAAGATACAACATTTTCCATGCTATTCTCGTTTCCTTTTTTTTTCTTCCCTCTTTTTATTTTTTATATTTGATATTAAGCATACTAAAACAACCGTAAATTCTCATTCAATATTCAATCATGACATACGTTTAGCGCTAAATATAATATTTCATTTTGAATTTAAATGCGATTTTTATATTGAATAAATTATAGATATCGGTGTTGCATATATCTAGGCTTATCTAATGCAGAAATAGTTTAATACGATATACTTTCTAATCTAGGATATTTTGTAGGGTATTTTCCTCTTGTTTTATTTTTAATGTTTCACGTTATCACAAGAAATACCCGATAATTTTGTGTATATGTTGTAAGTATGATTAAAAATGGATTCAAACCACTCGACAAGATGATGACCTACCATCGTTGGAAATTGAAGGAGCATTTTTGGTGTCATAATTTTCATATTATTTTTTTTATCCAGTTCTTTATTTTGCAACTCTAGTTGTCTTAAAGATTGAATGATATTGAACCAATCATCGTCGGCCAATGTCTTCGTTTTATTGGAATTTTTTTCTTCAGAATTCGTATTATTTTCGTTCCTTTTGATTGTTGTTTCTATTTCAACAGATGAATTCTTTTCGAGATTCGTTAAATTTATTTTGCTGTCCTGATTCTTTAGTGTAGACAGCGATTTCAAATAATTCAGGAAGCTATTGGTAGGATATTTGAGATTCGAATAGTTATAAAAATTTGTATAGTTATCTGCTTTTAGCATATCGGCCCAGATTACTTTCAATGTTGGCAAATTAGTTTCCGTTATATTCTTTGATAGTATCTTTTCTATGTTATTAGTATTATCAGGATGAAAAACGAAATTATACGTTATACGTAATTTTTCCCAAAACTTATCCAATGATTTTGTGGTGTTGCCTAATTGTTTATAATATGCTGTCAATCCCTCTGCTGGGAATAATTTTGTCAATTGCGGTTTTGATTCCATTCTCATTGCAAAGAGCTGCGAAACATAAAAAAATTACAAGAGTTTACGATTTCATGTATCTTGATATAAATAGTTCTTAAGCATTATATTCAAAATTTGATATAAATAGTTCTTAAGCATTATATTCAAAATTTATAAAAATAAGATTTCTACATTTTCATTTTATCTTTGAAATACTTATTCGAATACTTATTTACAACATAGATTATTAACTTTCTAAAAATTATTATAATTAGTATCATAATAATATTATTTAACAGTCAGATAAATTTAATTTAGTTAATTTTTACAAGATAAATTTTATTGAACATGATGTAATAAACTACAGATGATATAACACATAATTGTATGTTGCAACATATAATACATGTTCACTCATTGAATCTATTAGCATACGGTAGTTTCAATTTTACAAAAATTATAAATTGCAATTGTGAATGCATCTAATAATTTTTACGCTCTATTTATAAGTATTATTTAAAATAAGTATTATTTATTGTAAAAAATTACGAGACAAAAAATATATTTGAACTTTTTGTAAAAGAATATTCTTCTTAATTAGAAAGTTTATTTAATAAAATATAAAAATTTGAAAAGTTGAAAAAAGTTGGCAGTTTGGCAGTAATGGCAGTTTTTACATAATTTTGTACAAAACATAATTAGTTGACTTATGTATTCAGAAAAAATTCAATATTTTATTAAAATTTTATTTTATTAAAATTACTAATATAAAGATTTTTAAAAAGATTTAAAAAGATTTTGTTAATGTAAATTTCAATAGATGTGTTGATAGCAAAAATTTGTAAATTTATTACTTTATGAAAGAATAACGATTTAAAATAAGATTAATAGATAAGATTAGAAATAAGACGATGGAAGAAAAAAATTTATTATAATTTATTTTAAAAAATTATAAAATTACTATGATATTTTAGCAAGGATAATAATATATTAACAATCATTTTTAAAAGTTATGTTATAAATCTTTATAAAATTTATTATTAAAAATAACATTTTATTGAAATTAATTCAGAACGTTTTTATTATACATATAGAGAAAAAAAATAAAAAATTACAGAAAGATTTTTATAATTTCGAATATATGCTAAATTAATCAATTCTAAGTTAATAAAATACTTACGCAAAGAAGATAATATTTCAAGAACTTCATACTTCAGAATTTTACGATGATGTATAACTTCCTGGGACGATCTGCGCGATCGACTGAAGGCTCTTTTCGATTTCAAAATCTTTTTATATGCAATGTAAGAGTATAAACATGCACCTCGATTGATTGGCTTTCATGGATGATCATTGTCTTTCACCTGCGTCTGTGTAAGCCGTCAACATAGAATTGCTCAACAGAATTGATAGTTGAGGCACGCATGGTTGCTTGCAACCAAGCTACCTCAATAGCTAACTCATCTGAACAATATACAATACTAAGTCCCAATTTTTATGGCAAGTCAAAATATTACCAGAAACATGTCATAATAAATAATATACATCAAATTTGCAAAATTAATATATATATATAAAATATTACATATATAATATCAATTTTGCAAATTTGACCGCAAATTTGATTAAGATTTGATTTACATAATTAGGACTATTATCCCTTCCCCTTCTTTCTCTCTTATCGTGTCTTTTCATAAAGCAAACGCGGTGTACATAGGTAAAAGATAAAATTCGGGGAGATAGTTTTGGTTTTGACATCACCTTAATGCATGATTTATTTAATTAAATGGCACATTTGTGGATAATAGAATGTACATGAGAATAAAATATAGTATAAAATATAGAGAATAATATATAGTATATAAATATACAAGAACCCTGGATGGCACGACGAGTAATATTTTACACTTACACAGAAAGAACGGTTTTGTCGAAATATCTAAAAATTTAATCAGATCATATAGATCTAAAAATGATTTTTGTTAGGCCAAAATAATTTTGTAGAACATTAAAATTGCTGTTTAAAATATAAAAATTTTTTAAATATTATCATTAATATCGCGTCTTAAGTATTTATTTTGCCTAATTATGTAGCCTAATAAAATTATTTTTAAATCTATATTTGGCTAAATTTTGGCAGTCATAATACAATTATGTTTGAAAGATATGATGTGCAAAATCACGGCCCGATTAAACCTTTCTTGATAAAAAAATTTAATTTTTATGCTTTTTCTATATTTATACTTGAATATACTTAATAACAATATAAAAGAATAAATATAATATAGTATAATATAAAAGAAGAAAAATAATTGTATGTTTTTTTCAACAAAATTTTTTTAAATTTCTATGGAATTGTCTTACTAACTAACTTGTGGATCTTTCATAGAATTTTTTATTATAGTTCAGTGAGTATCAAGTATATTATAAATATATAAAATATGTATTATAATAATTGTATAAGATACGACTAAGAAATGTGTTTGCTTGTGATTCTTCCAATATTCCGTATTAATTTAGATAACATGTAGAGTAGGAAGATTATTGAAAACAATGTTTCAGTTAAAAATTAAGAAAGAAAAGAAAATTAAAATGGGAATAATATGAGAATAAACTTTCACTATGTTGGCCGAATGAAAGAGATTGATGCGCAAGGAGGAACAGTGACACTTGAAAATAAATTATGAAAGATTTAATAGTTGAGTTTTACGAGGCAAATGACGTTATGGAAAGATAAAAAGGATTTATTACACAGAGGAGCAATTACAGTACTTAGTTATTACAAATATGCGTTAGAAGAGTTTTATCTCAAAATCGAAGTCGATTTCTAGTAACTAGAAGCGAAAATTCTGTGAAAAGTTATCGTAGATATAGCAAATAGTAAGATAGTACAAGCTTTTTAAATATGCAGGATTATTGTTTGTTCGCATATCTTGTCCATTAGGAATTTTGCGCGCAATAATTGCGACATCGTGCAATCCCTTTATTTATTACGTGTCATATGTATTTGTTATATTTCGTAGTGTATATATAAATTAATTTTATTTTAAACATTTAACAAAGTATTTAATGAAGAAAAGATTGATGTTTTAATATGGATTGCACAATATCTAAATTACAGCACAATTATATGAAATTGTAGATTGTAAGTTGTAAACAACAATTTGTTGTTTAGCGAATTAATTTAGCAATTAAAATTTTGTAAAATTCCGGATTTAACATTAGAGGGAAAAAATGGAAACGTCTATCATTTAAGAAAATGGTAAGAAAATGAAAGTTATAGCTTTTTAATCGTTAAAGTTTTTAGATATATCTGAAGTTGTAGACTTGGAAATTGACTGATGGAAAGATTTCACTTTCGTGACTAGAATGAAAATAGATGTATTGAAATAATCGCATAATATATTGATTGTCAAGGAAAATTAAATTTTCTAATCAGCTCTCTCCAATTAATGCCTCGATTGAGCATCACAAAAACTTTTGGTCATGATACCGAGTGCAAAAATTTGTCACATCTAAATCGCTATATAGTAATAAATGTTAAATGTGTTAAATATTTAGTACACGTGTAAAATACATGTAATAAAGTAATACGTTGTATTTAATTTTTTACAACGAGATTTATAGAAACAGAGTGCATATCTAGAGGATACAAAATATCTTATACAATACTGTGATAAAG